TGTGTGTGTTTAGCATAATACAAAGCTAAGTCCTGAAGATCTCATACCAATTAAGAGAGAGACAGTAGGACAGGGCTGAATTGTACAAGCAGAATAATTGGGAAGGTTAGCAGAACTGCACACTGGAAAGCTCTAAGTGTTATGTATTTAAAAAAAAATAAAAAGACTTCTGCATTTTATTGTTCTTGATTTTTTTTAATGGTGGTTTAGTTTTTATGGTACTAGTTAAGAACTGAGAAATCTAAACTCAAATTCCTGCTCTGCCGCAGACCGCTTCCACTGTGACCTCGGGAAAGTGAGGGTTTTTTGTTCCTTCACTCCTTATATGTAAAAAAATGGAAAAGGTAGTAGTTCCAAACCTCACAGAGGCATCATCCATCAAAGCATTTAGCCTGGCTGCAAAGGGCTCATCTATGTATACTCCTCCCTCTCTCCTTTACTGTAAAAGATTTCTGAAAACATTTCCCCGCCCTCCATCTACATTTGGAAGCTAAAAGACCGCATCTTTTCTCTTTATCCTTTGCCTTCTGACCATAACTTACTTGGTACCCAAATACAATTCTGGTGGCAATTAAAGCAAATTGCAGCACATGACTTCAAATTACTGTTGATAAAAATTTGGCATCTCACCTGCCACATGTAGGGCTAAATACCTACCCCCAAGTAAGCTGCAGCTATGTTAAAAGGAGCTTCAAATAACAAGATAGGAAATTCAGCAGGAACTATTATTAGCTCCTGTTTATACTGTCATTTTTCTTATCAGTAGGAGATTATTTATACAGAGCCCAACCCAAGTGCTTCTTGTTTATCTTATTACAGACACCATTAAAAAAGTTTCTATAAAAAGCAGCTCCTGTATTTAGGACCAGCACTAATAAGTGTTGTGCTAGGTTTTTGCTTCTTATCAATCATTCCGTTATTTTCAAGTCACCATTTAATACTCTGTTACCATCTTCCAATCTGCCCTCTTCCCTCAGTACAAGGCAGCCCTGTAGAATATCTTCCAGGTTTCATTTTCCCTGACAGATTCATTATCGAAATGACTTTTAAAGTTTCTGGTAATTTTATAAACACTAAGAGAGCCTAAAATGTTGTTCTACTGCAACAGCTGACTTTAACCTTCAGCTCCGTGTTCCTCTCTCACGTATCCTCCCTCTCCACCACTTCCCATCCCCTTGCGCTGCAGCACAGGAAAAACAAAAGGAAAAGCTGTTTACTGTTGCAGTCTGTAAAGGCAAGGCTGCTTAGTGTGCTTTGTAGAACTGTGGCTGATGTAGGAATGTGTAAGTGCATTGCAATATTAGGATTAAGATGAGAAAAAGGAGAAAGATATTTCTGAATGAAATCCTATATGGCTTGAAGACTTAGCGAATTAAGGTAAAATGGAAGTTTCGAGGGGCAGAAGTTGCAGGAGAGGTTCCTGCACCAAGGACAGAACACGACAAGATACAGAACAGGGACAAATACGATCATAAGCACAGGGGAAACAGTACACTCGCTGGTGAGCTAATCCAAGATCTGCAATTTGAAGACATGCAAATACATTGGTTTAGCCAAAGTTCATCGCTTATATGTCCAATTTGGCCAACTTCAAATCCTGCTGTAATTAAGGAAGCAAAGTTTGAGGTTCCTAGCCATCACTCTGTTCAGATGCACTATTACGCCTTTCCCCTCTCCATGCCATTCGCCCCTCCCATTACACACACACAGTTTTTTAGAGTAGTAAAGACATTGGTAGAGATTGAAAGGAGAAAGTTGACAGCATGGGTAGCCAAGCCAAACAACTCTCCTTCTGGACAGAGCCAGCCATAAATTTTTTATTTCATTTCTTTCTTGCCTCTCTTTCCGGGGCAGAAGAGGTGAACGCTAAAAGCTGAGGCTACGCCACTCTGCATTTATTTCAAGTGCTAAACAAATGACTTCCAGCTGATGCAGGGTGGTAGCCAGTGGATGGGCAAGTCAAATAAGCCCAACATCTGCACTGCAGCCTCCAGAAACAGCTTGCTGTGTTCGTATTACAACAAACGGCGACAGAGGCTGTACGCACACCAGCCCCTGCGGGTTGCCCATCTGTTCTTGCAGAATTGCCCCCTTTCGTGCTCTTTCACAGCCTCTTCGTTGGCCAGAACAGGGTTCCACCTCGATGTGCAATATGATGAAGAGGACCCTGAGACATGGATCACTGGAGGCTGAACAGTATTCTGAAAAGGTATCACTTCACTGTCGTAGTCCTCCCCTACGCCATCTGCTACTGACCGCTCTGGATTTTATTTATCTATTTTTCCTCGTTTACTGAATGCTTTACAGAATGGCTTTACCAGTAAGACTAAGCCTGTAAATACTGAGATGATACCATTTGGGATCATATATTCTGCAAAGTATTACCTCTGTCTGTACAAACTGCTTTTTTAATGAACCAAAAGTGGTTTCCAGGCCTTCCCTGGGAGCCTGTTTCACAGCTGAATGGGAAGGGATGTTGGAAACATCTGAAGAATACACAAGTCAAGTAGCACTCATCAGGCCTAAGACAGCTCTGGAAGTGAGAGCCCTGGGACACGCTTTCTGCTCCGGGTCTCTGTCCCGAGCTATTTTCAGTCACTCTTCACCATCCTGTGCTTTTGAAAGGAAGCTGATGTTTCTCCCGGTAGTACTGAGCACGCTCTTTAATCTGGTCCCTTCAAACATCTCTTTGAGATTTACTATTTCTTTCAGATAAGCCATAACTATGTACTTAATAGTGGCACATAAGTACTACACATCTGCTTACACAAGGCTGTGGGTTGTATTTAAACTGAATCAGCTCCCGTAGCCCTTCCCACCAAGCATATGGAGGATGACACAGTTCAGCTGCAAAGGGTAGTGAGAGGAAGAGACTGGTGTGTCACAAGCCTTGCAGCTACCTCTGCTTGAGAAACTGCATCACATGCAAAATATCACTTTCTTTTCTTATTTGAAAGGTCCATGCAAGCCCTACTGGCTCAGCTGCAACAGGACGTAGCCATTTAACCCTTAGATCTACCTGGTTTCCCATTGATTTGGCTTGAAAACAAGGTAAAAACACAGTGCCATTAGTTCAGTCTTCACTCCGTCCCACTGACAGGCTCAAAAGCGAAGTCTAGTAATGCTTTCTTGGATCACTGAGTACATTCTGGATTCCCCCCCATGTTATGCAGGAGGGTTGAGTGGGATGGGTGTGAAACTTAGTCAACCATGTACGAAGTGGATGGTGCCGTTTACTCACGGGAGGCACAGCCTGGCAAAGACAAATGAAAGCTCCCAAGGCTAAATGCCAACTTAATGACTTTAACAACTGAAATCCAAGAGAGTAGGTTGACGATGGAAGGAGCAAAATGATCAGGTGCGAAGAGACTGGTCTTGACTTCCCTAGAGTCTGGCCTGCAGGGATATCAAGACATGCACCGAGACAGCTAGCTAGTTATAACTAGATCAGCTCCTTTTACTGATACAGACACTGTCTTAGATTTGGTGTGGTGAACCTGAGTCAAGGGCCCTGCATGCAGCAGTCCCACTGACAAAAGAAAAAAAAAAAAAAACAAAAAAACCCACGCTTATTTTGGAAAGACTTTTTCTGCAATTTTTTCGTCTTTACTTTACTGCTCTTGAAGGGAAAGGTAGTTTGACTTGCTGGTAGATGTGAAGGGTGTTATAGAGGTTAATTCAGAGATGAGTTATTCCAGGACTATATTCAGGCAAGGACTGCACAAAAGTAGGGGAGTGACCCTCTAACTACCACAACTTCAGAGTTCAGATACAATTTAAGCAACTCTACTTAGCATTGAGTAGAGTTAACATCTGATAAGGTTAATAACACTAGAGTTACACAAAATGTTAATCTCACAATTTTACAGATGAAATTGAAACCAGGGAAGGACAAGTAATTTTGCCCAAATCACAGAGAAGAGTTGGAGATGTGGAAGGAATTCCTGGCTCCATGGCTCAAGCACCCGTTTCTGCCTGCCTACCTCAACTGCTAGCATGTCTGCAAACCCAGATCTCCCAGACAGATGGGTTCTTGTGACATTTCAGATACTGGAAATATCATAAAAGAACAACTTCCCTCCTGCCGATTTGGCATTCCTAGTCATCAAGGAACCTTAAAAATGATCTATTTCAAGATCTTTATTCAAGCTTGGGTTTAAAAATGAATAAATGTTATAGGTATAACATGGCATTGGGCTATCTGTATTTTATCATCAAATCTTCATCCTAAGCATGCTCCCAGCTACGCTGTTCCGGACAAGCAGTGTGAGCCTGTAAAGGAGAACTAATAGCACCCCACAGGAGTAAGACTCCGTTACTCTTTGTGTAAAGCTCTGGAAACACACCCAAGGAAGAAGTGATACCACTGCAGTCTGTTCACTTGTCCTGAACGTGAAAGAGAGAAGGCACAGGGCAGAGGGCAAAAAGAGAGGTACTTCTCCTTCTAGGTAAAATCTGAGCTAATATGGTCATCCCCTCAACTTCACATCTGATTTTCATTAATCGTGACTCAAAGGCAAGTGATTGAAAAACTTCAAACTATCATAATCTGACTCCTGGATGTAGTGATACCAGCTATAGCTGTGTCTCCTGACTATTCATATACATTTTATAATATAAATACATATTATCTCTCTCTCTCCCCCCATACATAGAGGTGCAGATACGAATCTATTTGCCGCACTCAACAAACAATTTAAGAATTAAGGAAAACTTTTCATTTTAAGATAAGAACTTCGAGCTTATTATAATGCTGTAAAATAAAATCTGCTAGCACAAGCCACAAAAAAAGAAAAAAAAAGAAAAAGTGATTCACTGGGGAAGTGCCATGATGTGCGGGACAATGGGTCTTAAATCAAAGGCATACATTATCATGACTAAGCTGACAGATCTGCACTGCAATGCAGAAAGCCAAGCAATATTCCAACATCTGCACCGTGCACAGATAGGCAGTTAGACACAGTTTCCCAAAATGAAGAAAGGACTCCCCGAGCTCTTACCTGTTACCTGTGCAACAACTGCTTGGGAAATTCTCCGATTGGCTAGGAAGGCTTTGATTTCCTCCTTTATCACACTGCTGTCCCTCCTACCAAAACAAAAAAAAACGAAAGAACACACAAAAAGACGGACAGACCAAAGCGCACTCTGAAGATGCAAAATGGCTTTATTTCCTTTATTTAGGGGGCAAGGAGTGGGGAAGGCAGGCATTAAAATAGTCAAAGTGCCTCACCGGTGGACACTTCTAACAAGTGTCACGTTTGATCAAAGTACCCTAGCAGGAGAATGGATGACTCATGTCCTATATAATTCATATTAGGTGCAGCACTGCCATATGGAATGTACAAAGTTTCATTACACAGGGATGAATAAATCTCTCATACCAGCATAAAAACCTCAGTCATAAAAATGAGGCACAAAAATAAAAAATAAAGGATAGCAGGGTCTGCATGGTTAGCTACACAAATGAATATACATACACAAACCTTCTCCAACCTTTCAAGGAAAAGACCCGAAGGAGAAAAGATCTTGCAACCTCTATCCCCCCACCACTACCTCCTTAGTCCACAGCTTGCACTGAATGAACAAGTGCCAGTTATTTAAAGCCTTTGTATGATTTTTACAAGGTGTGCAAAGATAGTTCAGAAGGGACTACAACTGTGCTAAAAAGGAAATAATTTGGAGATTGCACCGGGACTGCGATACACAGCAAATTTCAATTGCAGTAAACACACACTTTCCCCTCCTCTTCCTCCCTCCCTTCCTGAGAAGGGCAGACAATTAAAAGCAGACTTTATTAGCCTTTATTATTTGGTAATTTCCCTTCCCCTTCTCCCCTTCTGCCCCAGCAGCATTCAAGGCAGATTCAAGCTTGCTAATGTAAATGCAAAATAAATGCTACGTTGTGAGTTCATTTTTATTTCTGAACCCAAAACTCAAAGGAATAATTAAACTTCAGCAATGGGAACTCCTGCATACTGCTATACTCACCACCTTCCTGCATTATTCCATTATTCTGCAGCTGACAGTAGATGAGGTTGGTTTTCTTTTCTTACTGCTCATCTCTAATCCTCTCCCCCAAAAGCCACACCTTTACCCTAAATCTCCAAACCACTTCAAACATATTTTCATCCTGGAGCTTATGTACCCCAGTTCTCTCATAGGTACTTCACAAATGTTGCAATTTTGGGGAAAAAAAGACATTCCAACATTATGACCAAAACTGTTTTGAGACATTTGGCCTTTCCTCTTATTTCTTTTTGCTATCAAGCCCACTGACTCCGACTTTCATCCTCAGTGGTACAATCCCTTCCTTTCATCTTTGCCATAATGCTGAAAAGGAAGCTGCTAAAAGTAAAGGAAGGTCAGTGTGGAAAAAAAAAAAAAAACAACTGGCTCTCACTGAAGACTTCTGCTTTTTCTTTATTATTTGTATTTTCCTATGCCAATCTGCAGACTGTGCAAATCCCAGAGAGAGTCAGCCCCTGCCACAAACAGATAACATACATGCTCTGCAGATCCCAGTGGAAAGCATTAACCAAGCAGATTCCCTACTCCCCCTACATATGGAAGGAAATGCAACCGGTATGAAGTAGTGGAACAGGAGTCATGTGAATTGACACTCAGTCAGAAGCCTTCTGAATAAGAGTAGGGTGGAAAATTAGTGCGCTAACATCAATTTCAATTTTTGGTACAGCATGGGAAAAAATATTTCAACAGTAAAACAGATTGTGGGACACCCACACAGGGACGGGGGTCGTCTGCGCAAGACTAAGAGGCAGGTGAGAGGTACCGAGACAGTGACCGTCAGGGAACTAGCTGGGGAATATCTGCCTAACGCAGTTCCTGCTTTCTTGATAATACCTATCACTACTACAGCAGTCCTCCAACATGCAGATTTCTTCTGAGGGACTTCTCACTCTGACTTTCCAAACTTTTTACAAAGACTTCTACTAACCTCATCAGTTCCTCCACTTTGTCATCAATGTCCAAGTCCTCTTCAGAAGCTTCAAAACTATATGACCTTTGAGCCAAGCTGTTTGCAAGTGGGTAGCGGGTAGGTGACATCTTCCCGTTGAATGCAGACAACCTCTCGTTACTCTCCCTCCCGTTCTGATTAGTAGTGCAAGGCTGTGGGGAGGTGTCGTAACTGTTGCTCGGTGACGGGGACATCCCAGAATGCTGGGTCTGCGTTGAAGCTGTGGCTGTAGAGGAAGATGCTGGGACATTGTTGGTACTGTTGCTGTAGGAACCACCTCCGTAGCTAGACCTTCTTCCAAATTTGTCACTATGCTCTTGATCAAGACGATCCAAGGTTTCCAGCGCGTGGAGGATTTCATGTCTGGTCATTCCCGTACGTCTCAGGCGCTGAAGCAGGTCTATCTGCTCTATGGTAAATCTTGGTTCGTCTGTGTAGTGAGACATGGTTTCCAGCAGACTAAAAACAAGGTAGAATGTAAAAGCACATACTTCAGTTCAATAGTTCTCTGTGGTACACAGAAAGTACCTTACATGCAGGAAAGATCAATTCTGGTCCAAAACTTTAAGTCACACATATGACAGAGCCGGCAGCCCAACAATCCACCTCCAAACAAGCCCAGCAGGCAACCTCCCATGAATGCTAGTCTCAGTATGTAGCAGAAGGGCTTATTTACTTTGAAGTGCTCAAATAGCATTTCTCTCTTCTACTAGCATCCCCTGCACCTTCCACAATAAACCTGCAGTAAGGACCCTTTCGCTTTTGATAAACCACTGCTACAGAGAGAAAGCAGTTGCTCGGTAATTAAGGCTGCAACTTGATTTCAGAAAAAATTTTGCCCATTGCTAAGCATGCACCAGAGAGAAATCCCAGATTCCAAAACTGTTAGGTCGAGGCCAGCGGTTGAGTTTTTCTGGAGAAGCTTTAACCAGTTATGACATGAGATTTATGAATCTCAACTCTTTCGAATCTTAAGTATGAAGTGTTCAAGTTGCCCTTTTTGTTGCTACCTTGAAAAAAAGAAGATAAAACCACACCTAGCGGAAACTCTAGTGACCTGTAGGATCAAAGTTGATTTGACTGAAGTCCCATTTCTGAAGTTTGATTTCTGAAGTTAGTAACTTTTGAACCTGGAATGTTGTCACAGATCGCCTGCCCTAACAAGGGAAGTGCAGCACATCCAATTACTAGTGAGCTTTCATTTAAAGAAATAAGTCTACAGCCTTTTCCCCTCCAAAGGCAGGCTTCTCATGTAACTCAATCATCATGGTGGCTCATCAAAAGCATTTTTAACTCCTAAACTTCCCAAGGTGCCAGAACAATGAACATGTATTTGCTGAAAAGCCCAGAAATGGAACTGAAAAAAAAAAAAAAAAATATGCTCCCTTAATCTCTTTTCCTTCCTAAGTCTCCTCACTACAGATCCTCCAAATGGCATACAAATGACAAGATCACCTCCTTCAGAACTCAGGATCTTGAGAAGAAGGGATGGCAGATGGAGGACAGACAGAACTTGGCAAAGAGATCAAGGCATTTTCCATCCTTCTTGCGAATCTTCTTATGAGTCAAGGGTTTATTACAATTCCTGCAGGAGAGCAGGGTGAAGAGATCACTCAAACTCCAGGAGACGTGACAGAGCTAATGTACAATCCCTACAAGCAAGGGCAGACAAACAGCAGCCTCAGGGAAGTCAAGGAAGAATTCCAAGGACCCTATGAAAACCAAAAGAGGGATGATGGCTGTCACAATTATGCTGGACTTTCCAGGACTTTCCAGGGACAGGGCTGCCTATTCCTCTCTACAAATTTTGAAGATCACTCCTCATTTCCATTTCTGCACTGGCACAGAGAAGTCCCCAACAGGAGCCACAAAGTGACAAAACTTTTTCAATTGCTGCATTTAATCTTTTTTCAGATTCATGAATCACAATAAAGGAAACCAAGAATCACGGTAAAGGAAACCAAGCCTGTAGGTTTTGGGGGTATAGCGAGGAAACCTCTTCAGGAGAGTAACATCTCACAACACAGACCTGACTAAGCAATGGAAACAGGTCTGTCCTTGAGTCAGAGGGTATAGCCATGTCAATACTAGTAAATTAAATAGTGCTCATGAAGAGGCACTGTAGCACCTACACAGAGTCGTCTGCAACATTATTAAAACACTGTAACTGTCTTTGGCACAGTTTTGGTCAACCAGTGCACTCCTGACCAACCCTCAGGCTTTTCTCAAGATTTTGCATGGAGCAGAAACCACAAACACTCTGTTTGGATGCAGCCACTCAGCCTCAAGGCTAAGAGCGTCTGGTAATACGGATGTGGCCAAGTGGCCTTGGGGCTGAAGAACAGCACCGAGAACTAGCTTGCTTAGTAGAGTTGTAGAGTGTAACTGTACAGACATGGTGCTACAAAGTCAGGATGCATAAATGGCATTTGCAGCCTGGAAAATACAGAAATGAGAAGAAGCTCCTATCTTTGGTCTCACAAAGCAACTATCAAACCCCTTGCGTTGTTTCAACAGTGTTTACGTGGGAGAAAGAAGCAGGAGGACAATGCAAGGGGATGACTCCCATCCAAGAAAATGACTATGGGAGAAGACAGACTACAGCCATATAAGTGCTTTAGTCCAACAGGAATGTGCTGTTCTTTGGACAATTGATTACTGAAAACGTACAAGCAATTTTAAATTTTAGAAGACAAGCACACAGATTATTCTACTAAAAGGAGGGCACAGCAGCCAATGCAGCAGTAGACTAGCAACTGACCGGAATTGTAACAACTATAATTTGGAAGTCGTACCTCAGACTGAGACATTCAGAGGTGGACAAGGAGCATTTTGAAACAGACATTGTGTTCTAGGTTTGGCCTCTGCGTTGGGGAAGGCAGGGCTGCTCAATCATTTCCTCCAAGCTTTGTGAGAAGTGTCACACTGACTTACTGACTCACATCACGAACTCCTGTACAGCCTGAAAGTCCCCCACGTCAGCTCTGAGTAGCATGGTTTTCAAATAGAAAATCTCTTCTTAAACATCTGGCCTTGAGATGGTTTTCACTAGATATATCAGCTCGCCTTTCGTTAGAGATAAACCCATTTTTGGCATTTCTTACCTGTATTTCTCATGTCACCATTTCCTGGTTCATTTATCTGTGAACACCAAGTGTCATGTGCTCAAGTGCTTGTCAAACTGGAGGATTTAATGAACCAGAACCTCCACCCAGAACTACCTCTACGCAAAATTCCTGTTTTACTGACTCTTCGACGTTTAATACCAAAATATACTTTAGATTATCTAGTTTAATCTCCAGTTTGCCACAGACTTAAAAAAAACCAAAACTTTTGTCCTTCTAGCCCTGTGAACAGAAAAACTCGCATCTGACAAAAGCATGACTTTCCAGATGGCTTCAAAAATGTCAAGCAACACAGAACTTACCATTTCCTGCAGCAGTCTGTTGCCACGGACAGTCATTCCCTTTAAAATTTGGGTGTGATCCCCGATTTGTCTAAAATGTCAGGGCTGAGCTTCCAGATCTGGGTTCTCAGGCCAAATTAATATCCTTTGGTGAATTACACATAACCCTTTAGTGAATCCTAAGTATCCTTTAGTGAATTACTAGTGAATTACACATAATGAACTCCAGTGTTCTAACATGCAAGAGAAACGGTTGACCTTCTGTTGTACGCAGCTGTATGTGGGGGAAAGTGATCTGGCCTCCAATTTGTCCCACTTTGATGCAGCGGGGATCTGCTGTGCATGTGCAGTAATTTCAATCGCACAGGGATGCAAGGACTGCTGGACAAGGCCATCTGTTGCCGTAAGAGTAAGATATTCAATGATATCCCACTTGAGTTCTACAGAGTGCTGTTAATCTGTGGACTGCTGCTAAAAGGCTTGCAGAAAGTAATCTAAGAGCAGCAAACCTACTGTCAGATTAAATCCATTATACTATGTTTAACACAATCACTGGAAATATGTTGGCAATTTGAAAAAAGAAAAAAACCAAAAAAAGAAAAAAAACCAAAGTCAATGATCCCAGCAGTGTGTCTGTCCATGCAAGGTAGCCTTCTAGCCCTCCAACCCTTTTAGACAACTTCTGTGTAATTTTTTTAACACTTAAAAAGATATGAACACCAAAATCAGATACAGTATCTCACTGCCAGTCTCATTAATGTCATACACAGATGTAGAAACTGCCTTGCTTATACTTACACAGCATACATTGCATCTGACATACTTGTTATTGGTCTTCATTTGGTACTCTTATTCATATTTTCACATGCTTTTATACACAACCATGAGATCTAGAAACAATGCTTCTGAGTGAGTTTTATGTACTGAAAACAACTGCAGGAACTGGGAATTTTCCATTAAAAACCCAAAACAAATATTGCAAAACCTGGTATTATTGAACATGTTCCAACATTGCCAACTATCTACTGCTTTTTAATGAATAACTACAGTAACATTATTTAGAACTGTTATTCTAGCAGGGCTTCAGTTATTTTCCCTTTTTAAAATATTTTAATAAACTTATTCTGTTTAAAGATCAATTTACAAAGCAGGTAAGGAAATCACCCATTTTAGAATCATCATCATTTCATTCACCTCATTAATTAATGGATATTCTCCACTACTTCATCCCCCCCATATTGCTCTACAAGCCTCTTATCCTCCTGTCCTGGTTTTGGCTGTGATAGAGTTAATTTTCTTCACAGTAGCTGGTGTGGGGCTGTGTGTTGGGTTTGTGCTGATAACACGGGGATGTTTCAGCTGTTGCTGAGCAGTGCTTGCACAGAGCCAAGGCCTCGGCTGCCTCTCACCCCACCCCACAGCGAGCAGGCTGGGGGGCACAAGGAGCTGGGAGGGGACACGGCCGGGACAGCTGAGCCCAGCTGACCCAAGGGATGTCCCACACCCCATGGCGTCACGCTCAGCACATGGAGCTGGGGGAGAAGGAGGAAGGGGGGACATTGGGAGTGATGGTGTTTGTCTGCCCAAGTCACTGTTACATGTGACGGAGCGCTGCTTTCCTGGAGGTGGCTGAGCCCCTGCCTGCCCATGGGAAGCAGGGAATTAATCCCTTGGTTTGCTTTGCTTGCACGTGGCTTTTGCTTTACCTATGCAACTGTCTTTATCTCAACCCACGAGTTTTCTCACTTTTACCCTTCCGATTCTCTCCCCCATCCCACCGGGGGGGAGCAAGCGAGCAGCTGCGTGGGGCTTAGGTGCCGGCTGGGGTTAAACCACGACACCTCCTGAATTCCTCTGGCTAGCTATAATTCAGTTTGCTTCCCCCCTCTTTTTTCCTTGTGAAATACAATCAACTGCAAAAGTAACAAGAAGTAAAATAAGACAGGGACAAGCAGAATGATTGGGGTTGTGCAGTAGAAATAAAGATTGTAAATATTCTTCCTGAGAACAAAGACTGTGGACCAACTGCTTCGCTGTGGTCAAACTTTGGCAA